TACGTTAGTTAAATGGGACCTTTTATATATGAATCTTGGCTGCTTCCCTTTCAGAAAAAGGAGAAAAAAAGAGAGTATGGCTTCCCAAAAGTTCTTGCAATTCTTCCTTTCATTGGGATATAAAGACTTTCACAACAACAGAAGTTACAGTAATTAATCTCATAGGAAATCAAAAGTTGTAACTAAAATTTTCTTGAAGTCAAATTAATGTCATCCTCTATACATAAAAGCACAGCGAGGATAAGGTCCGGTACCACGGGGTTTTTCTGGTGCTGGAAACAAGTGTTAGATTGCCTCTTGGGAAGCAGCATCTTGCCCATTCAGTTACTTAAATTTGTCCTTTTAGATCTGTGAGATCAAATGGTAGTTCATGCTAAATTTGCTAGCAGTGACAGCCCGATAGTTTTCCTGTCTTCATTGCTCTGTCATTTAACCTTGGGTGAATATTTGAGAAAGATGAAGTGGAGGCAAGGAAGGAGAGCAAGAAGAGAAGTTTTCAGGAGAAAATAAGAATTATTTTTTCTTAGTCAGTTTGTTGCAACGGTTCAAAGATGCTCATGGTTTTGTAGTGCCCGATGGAGGTCTAGGGTGAGATGTGTGAGCAGATATAGCTGCAGATATAGCATCAGAGCTTGGCATCAGACCTCTGCAGGACCTCAGAAGGTTCCCTGCTGCTTCCCAGGGATTAGATCTGCAGTAGTGACACCTGCATAATATCTTGCATCATTTTGTGCTCAGGACTGCTTTTTTCTGGTGCTGTTTCCATCATCCGTATTTCTGAGTTCCCCTGATCCATATTGAGTAAATTCAAACAGCCTCTGCTTTCAAACCCACAAATAAATAGTAAAAGAGATTTTTTTTTTTTTAATAATTATTTCTTTACTCTTGAGAAGAATAAAAACCGGCATTTTAGAGGTACAAGTAAGATGTGTTTCTGACTCTAATTTCATTGATACTATGATGTTTATGCAGAGAAAAGTTATTTTAGGTCATGTTTACGACTTTGTCAAGATCTTAATTTGCTGAGAGCTGGTGAAACCCCACCAAAGTGAACTGGGCCATGGCACCGCGCTCCGGCTGATGGTGTTTAATGCTCCCTCTGCCTCACCCTCGATTGGCATGGAGAACGGATATGTGATCCAGGATTCAAAAATGAACTCTGACCGCTTGAAGTCTTTTCTTATTTCTAGCTTTTCCTTAGAATAAATGACTTATTTACTAAATGTATCCCAAAAAGGCAGCTACTTATTTACTAAATGTATCCCAAAAAGGCAGCTGTGAAAGCCTTTCCATTAAACCATGATTCTATTCTGCAGTTTTTTCATTGAATAACTCCCCCCTCCAACCCCCCCCCCAAAAAAGCCCCATAGATACTTAGATTTATGCAATGGATAAAAAGAGAGTGCTTGCATGAAGAATGACAAATAATGGTGATTAATATAGTAAATGAGTGTCTATAAATATTTTGAGAATGCTAGGGAAAGTAAAAAAAGAGATTTTGCAGTTCTTTAATATGCTGTGGTATGTGAATCCCGTTCAGTGACACTGAACTTTTGAATAAAATTAGATATTTGCAAATGGCTCTAGAGAGGGCCTGAGGAAATCATGTTGCATTTATACTTTATTGTGTATTTTTTTAAAAAGGATTCTTTGACTTGGAGATATTTTTTTTTATTATTAGACGTAGGCTTATTTCTGAATTTGTCTCTGAGCAAAGTTTTTATTTTTTTTTTACTCCCCAGTATGAGTAGGAAAGTAAGGTTTGTACAAATTTCTTATTCTATATACAGTAACAATATCCTACATAACTGGATTTATTACAACACAACTGAGGCTGAAAATTGTCCTTCTATAATGTGTACATGTGCTAATTAGCACTGTATTCCTCTACTGTAGAATAAATCTAAGTGTAACGATTATTTTCAGAACCACAGTTAAAATTATTTTTAGGTGAATCTACATAAAACGTTTAGTATATTTTTCATTTAATTTCATTAATGTATTTAGTTTGATTTCCCATGGACTTATCTATGTCCTTACTGAACTTAAGAAACAGTCATTTCATACACACTTGAAGGATTGTTAACAAGCGGAGGTTTCTATTCTCCTGTTAAATAGAGAAGGAGGGGAAATTAAATTAGTATCTAAGGAATCTTATTTTGTAAATGTGACTGACTCCCAGAATGTCTGCTATAAACCCTCATTGTTCGTACAAGCTCTGAAGCACAGCATTTAAGTTCTGTCTTGCAATAACGTTCTGTAGTATTTTTTCCCTTGATTCTCTTGATGCTTTTCTTTCGAGCCTGCAAATTTGATCAGAATCTTTTAATTAGAAATGATAACGCTATAAATAGTAGTAAATATGAAATTCTTTACATCAAAGGGCAAGCGTATAAATAGGATTTTCTCATAAATTTAAAAAAAGAAAGACATTCTTCTCTTTTGGTAGAAATGATTGTTATCTCTTCCAGCAAAACTTGTTAAAAAGCATCTAAGTGCTTTATGAAGGATACTTCAGAATCAAGAAACATATATTGTGAGGAATTGCACATTATATCACAATATATTTTTAATTCTCTTTTTCCTTATTTTAATGAGGAAGAATATTAGTCATCATGTTACTATGCTGCTTTCAGCACCCAACTAATTATACACAAAGTAAGGACAATTTCTAAAATGTTTCATTTCAGAATTCTTGTTAGTTGGATTATTAAAGAAAGTGCGTAGTTCCTCAATGTTTCACTAGTGGTTAAAATATTTGACCTATTTGAAATGAAAATATTCCAAACATATTTAAGATTACCTACAGTAGAGTGCAATGAGGCTCACCATTGATCTGCAGTGATATACGCTGGTTGTAGTTTATGTCTGTGTGTATTCCCTTTGCAGGTGCTCATTCTTCAGTGCCAGTTTCTGGAGAAGGCTGATCCCCAGCAGGGCTACTGAGGAGACTATCAGAAATTGTCATTGTTTTGTTGTATTTCTTTGTAATAATGAATAGTCGTACTTGGTACTGCTTGCTCGTCTCCTCTGTTACTGCAGCGATCCCTGAGGCACGGAGCTGGTGATTTAAAATAATTGGAATTGCATCCCTCTTGGTTTGGCAGGAAGGTTTGTGTACCACTTTTTTTTTTTTCTAGGATTCAAGCTTTTAATATTTGTTTTAGATGAAATATCTTTGTGCTTAGTGATTTGAAATAATCCTTTCCACTCCATTTACTTTTGATTCCTTTCAGACATTCACCGAGATGCTTAAACTTTGCAGTCTTTGACAAAAAGCTAGCTCGCCCGTAGTTGCATTAGATGCATGGGATGCTTAGTATTTTCTATAGGGGGGGCTTGCAAAGTAGTATGCTTTGTGTGTCACTAGAAATTGCATCTGAAAGCATTGCAGCTAATTTCCGAGTTGTAATCGATATTTTCCTTCTTTGGTTGCATGACATTAAAATTTCAGAACTTTTTGATTGTGTTGGAGGCACGGCACTGTGCTCTTCCATTAAGTTGTTAGATTCTCCTTTCCTGGCTCTTGTTTTATGTTCTGCATTGAGTGCATCTCTTCTGGTCTCCAAGAACTCTCCTTTTATGACTCAGTTGTCGATGTGTCACGCCTATGGTTGGTGAAAAAGCCTCGAATTTTCTGAGAAAGTTCCTTCGTATGAGAACGGGATGACATAATTGATTGTCTTGCTTCAGTGGTTTAGAGAAGCCCTTGCAGGTGTCTGTCTTGTTACTTCTGCTTGAATGAGGTGGTATAGATGGCATAAAAGTACTTATTTCCTTTCTTTGGGTTCTTTTATTGACATATGTCTGTGAATCTAAGCTTCCCTTTCAGTTGGCCATTTTACCTATTCACTGAAGCAGGTAGATGTGTTTAAAAATAACGTAGTACCAAGACTTTTGCAAATGTATTTCTTTATTGTGCGGTTTTTAACCAGATATTCAGAGTAATTGCTATCCTAAAAAATGTACTGGCTGGCACTCTTAAAGTGCAGGTTTTTGTTAGCCTGAATGAGATCTGTTAGCTGTCATTGAAAGGGGGAATCTGTCTTCCTCTTCATTATCTCTTGCATGTCCCCTCCAGCTTCTTTCCATCACATCTACTCATGGTGTGACTATATAGTTTATTTGGATCAGCTTATTTGTCCAGCAGAATACAGATCTGTTCCAAGGAATGACTAATTTTCTGATGCTGATCTGACTTTCTGGGTAGTCACATGAGATGACAAGGGAAGAGCAGGTGGGAACATGTGGCCAGGATGGGGCAGAACTGTTCGCTTTTGGCAGCAGCCCTCAGTATGCAGCGTTGCGGTGTTTTACAACTACATATTGGGGTTGAAGGAAAGAGCTGCGATTTCTGGGAAGGGCTGAGTTTGTCTGGCTATCCAAAACGTGCATTTTGGTATTTCAGTAGGTTTGAGATACATTTGAGATAATGCTTGATTGCACTTGAGCTTAAACTTAATGGTGAGCTTCCTGGGTTTGCACCACTTTGTCTTAGGGGTGGTTACATCTGTGTAATGTTTTTCATCTTAATTTATTAATAGGCATTTTCTCCCTTAAATCCACATTAACAGCTTCTGTCAGGGAGTAACTGTGGTCCAAGGGTCACCTCAGAAATACATTAGCCTTGTAATTGTTTATCTTAGAGACATGATCAAGGGAGGAAATTTCCCAGACCAAATCAATATGATGCAATAAACCTGGCAGTTAAAAGACAAAACCAAACCAAAAAACACTAGTCATTTTTGCTCTTACAGTGAATGAGGTGAATACATTTTAATGACGAAGGCTACATTCAGTATATATACATTTAAAAATTAAAATTATGTTTTTTTGTATTCTTCCTTACTGACAAATTCTCTTTTGGTACCAGTGTATGGTCATATAGAAGACTTGGCTGTACTTTGTACACAGAGCTAAATGATGGCATATGTAGCTATGTTGTTAGCAAACAAATAATGAAGTGCTGTAGAATGTTCTCTGCGTTTAATAATGTAATGATGAAAAGCGAACAACTGGGCTGCCGTTACTCCTTTGATCAGAAAGTGGTGGTTGCGATGCAGATAGGTAAATGAGGGTTAGTTAAGGTTAGCAAATGTGCTGCGTTGAAACTAGGGAATGACAAAACTGATTGTAGGCCCATGTACCTTACTTGGTTCTTGGCCTGTCACATACTTTTTATGAGCAGCAGCCTAAAAATTCGCATCTAGCAAGAGAAGATGGAATTTTAAAATCATTCAAAGCATACTCTTGCTGCCTGAAAGCTGGAGAAGAAATGCAAATGCTAACATGGTAATTTGTTGATGGTTGTTTCTGCTGTATTTGTGGATGTGCTGCTGCAGGCCAGAAACAGGTAAATGGTGGTCCTACGTGTCAGTGGCCGTACGTGCTCTGGGTGCCTGTACGTGCTGTGGGTGTCCATAGTTGCCTCACAGGTACCAGCCGGCTGTGTTACGGGTTGTTTGGGACAAGCTTGAGACCCTTAATTTCAAAAAGGGATCAAAATGGGTGATCTGAGGAAATTACTGCCTTTTTTTCTTTTCTTAAGGCTTTTTTGGATAGAAGGTATGATTTTAATATCAGTGGTAGTTCATCACTGAAATTATTTACTCAGATAAGCTAAACTACATGTTATATTTAGTTAGTTGGTCAAAGATTATGCATTTGTTCAAAAGAGATGCTCTTTAATCATTCAAGAAATTATGAGATCCACTTAGTGAAGACCTGTAACCTGGGTTACAAAGCAGGTTAGATATAATAGGGATAGCTGAAAGGATGTCTGACTGTGAACTGAATCTACTGAGGGGCCTTCTGAGAAGCTTTCCAGTTAATACTGCATCCTTCTAAACAGTAATTTAAATATCTGGAATTTCTCATCATGCAATTTTGCATGCACATGCACTGCAGGGGCACAGCTAGGCATTTTTATAGAGGGCACTCAGCCTCAGCATCCTCTAATAAGTGAAGCTGTCTTATTTTTATTTTTTTTAAAGGAATCAACTGTTTGTGAATATGTATTCATGGTTGTTGTTGTTTTTTTATTTAGTTTATTATTACTCATGCTTATATATGTAGACATTAAAAAAAAAAAAGCATTCTGCTGTAGGGCAACTTAAAAATGTAATAAACAAAAAAGTCATGGTTCCCTCAACTTCCCGTTTCTTTGTTGCCGTTCTTTTCCAGGGAAACTGGTATTCTCAACTCTTCTGGATTTAATGCCTATTGAAAGCCTGCCAGTAGTTTTAGAGAGAGTAAATTTGATGATTCACATTATCCCATCCTGTCCTGTGTTTCCCAGAGTTTTCAATAAATCATTTGTTACAGTTGTACTATCCTGTATTGTATTTATTTAGAGAAGTGTAGTTTAGAGTTCTAAGTGGTTCTTCAGTGTTTCTTCTTAGATTCCTCTGTCTACATGCTTCAAATCTTAATGTGCGGATTTCAATGGAAAGAAAATAAGAACAAAGTTGAAACTGCTCCAAAATGTCTGAAAGTAGCTTTTCTTATTAATTAGTTAAATAACACGACTGTTCCGTTTCTTGGGAGTTTTCAGGTCTAGAAACAACAGTTGCATTTCCATTGGATAGCTGAGTATTTTCTTCTACTTCTACTAGAATAAAAGTTCTATTTCTGGCAGATCGCAAGTTACAAAGTATTCCCATGTTTGTTCTCTATAGGCCAGAATGAAAGCAATTAATTCAGGGAAAATATATGGCAAGGAGAGAAAGAAAGAGAGAGAGAAAGAAAGAAAGAAAGAAATGTTTCTCAGCACCCATTTTTCCTTGGTTTTAGTGACTGCTCAGGGGTTGGAGTTTTTGGGAGCCTTTTGGAGATGGGTTACAGGGTGGTGAGTCAGAGCTTTACAAAAAATGCAGCTAATCAGATTTTAGCCCATTGCTGTCACCTCACTATATGGGCTTAAATGAGAATCTGTGTGAATGAAGAGTTTCTTCCAGATAATGTCAGTGAGATTTGTGAGTGTATCCTGGTCTGACCAAGCCAGTAATGTCTCAGCTGTTCTCCACCAGTCTGTCTCCAGAGTCAGGTTAAGGAACGAGTAACACATCACGCAAGGGAAGTTTTCCATTTCCCTTTGCTCAGGGTTTTGCCCAGGATGGAAGTTCAGACAGGAGAGCCATTTCCTACGGTGTGGATGGGTTAAGATGGGGGGTTACTAAGGCAGAGCCTCGCAGTCATGGGTTGGGTTGTTGGGGACACTTGAATAGGCCTCGTAGATTCAGAAAACAGATCTTTTATTCATTATCATAGACTGCTTTGCCCATTTCAATGCAATTTTATTTGTTAATGGCATACTGTTCCTTAGTAAGCATATTTACTTTCTGCATTCACAGACCTGTATGATATGTTTTGTTGTGGCTGAATACTAATTCCAGTTTTTTTCAATATTGCAGTCTACCCACATTGCTCGAGCCAGCTTCCAGGTTGATGCTTTTGGATCATCTTTCATCCTAGATGTGACGCTGAACCAGTAAGTAATGACTATATCTTACTCTATGTTTGTTCAACACCCGGTGCCAGCAAAATGTCATTTTTCAATGGAGGTTTTAGAGGTTGTGTTATAGCACAAATGCTGTTTCTAGGTACTGAGTTCATCTGTAGTAGTATATTTTGAGATCTTTTGTTATTTTCTCAAGTACCATTGTAGGCTTTGATAGTCCCATTGTTACTACTTAGTAGCTATTGCAGTGTAACTAACGTTTTAGTATTATAATTTCATTTGCCATCTTTCAGTTTACCATAAAGGCAAATTACTGTACTCAGGCAGAGCCTCACAGGATATGAAAAGCTGGAGTTGCTGAAAACTGGTAGCTGTTAGCGTTTTAATAACCAAGTGTAAAGTACTGGAGATACAGCAATTGCACTACAGCTAATCCTCAAAAAATGAATGAGATGGATAGTTGGGAATGAAGTTTCTCCGTATGTGTTTACAGTCTTTTGGGAACAGAGAAGCATCATAAGGCAGTAGCACACTGTGAACTTCAGTTTACGAAGAATGATTGAACAATAGTAAACTTTAAGTGAAATCTGGTATGTGGCTTTCAGTCATGAGTTTTTGAAGTAGCCTTTTGGCACAGCTGTTTTAGAATAGGAGTTGCTTTGCTTTTCTGCTCTGAAGTGAAAAGAGAATAAATAGTATAGTAAATAGAAATGCTTTGTTACGTAATTAATCTCCTAATAATTGAATACAATGTTGTGTGGTTCAGTGTAAGAGTTTATGCTCAATTGCTACAAGTTTTTCTGCTATAAAGATGAACCAAATGGGAGCCACTGAAATTTCATTTTTTTCCCACTTGTAAACACATGTTTAAACAGTGGCAAGGTCTTTATGTGCACTGACATAAGTTAAAAACCACATGTGAATCCTTGCTGGTTACAGATGGCAGAGACACTGTGCTGCTGGAAGGCGAGGGAAGAGGCTGCTTTAGAAGTATGATTTTGTAACAAATGCATTTTAAAAGAACACTCGAGGAAGAATTTCCTGCAGAAAAGCACCAAGTCTACAACATTGAAGTGTTTGTTGGAAATAAGAGTTTTGTATACATATTTATACCTTACTGAGAGTAAGCTGCAGAAATTTGGTTTTCTTTTGGGTGGCAGATTAATGGTGTGGTCACAGTTAGTTTCTGAAAGGTCAGGATTTACCTTGCAGCATGAATTTCAGGTCATCTTAATAAAAGTAACCACAATTACTAATAGTATATGAAAAGACAAGTTAAGGATGTCAGTTTATGAACTGCAGCAGTACTCTGTGGGTGGATTTTTTGTTTAAGCACATGTGCATGAGCACATAAACACACACAAACACGTATATTTAAAATTTGATTTCAGCTGGATCCTATTTTTATGTCATTCTTTTGTTGTCTTTAATGATACTGGACCAGTATTTGTACGAGTAACAGTGGCAAAATGTGGGCTTATGGTTCTTAAGAGTGTCAGAATCCAATATGAACTTTTCCTAAGCAGCTATGCTTTTTATAATGTGAAAAAAGTCCTATCACAAATTGTGCAAAAAGGAAACAAGAAGGCTGAGAGGAAAGATGTTTGGCTTCTATCATGATATTTAAATCAATGTTTAAACTGCTTCTGAAATAGCATTTGCAGATCATCAAATAAAAAGAGGGCCAAGTGTACTGGAGCAACATTTAAAATGTATTCTTAATTATTATTCCTGTGAACACATATCTTCTATTCAGAAGGCTGTAGATATTTTTCTTCTCTTGCAATTCTTACTTTCCATATTATATATTCTATATGTATTTTCTGAGGGTCCTGAGAGAAAAGCACTGATTTTTTTTTTTTTTTGGAGGAGTGGTTTGCAAATTTGGCCCACAGTAGCCTTGTAATTGAAGAGTAGTTGAATGCTTGAAAGGAGCAAAGTTCAAGATTTTAGTTTTCCTCTGGAAAAAATATCAGCTTACTATTTATAACTGAACCTCTGCTAATATCAAAAGCATGTTGAAGCAGCCCTCTGTGGTAAAATTAGCTTTTATGCATAATATACATTTGAGGAATGTTAAAGGAAGTATGGGGGACAGAAAGGGGGAAAAAATAATTTAAAATACGTAGGTTGTCAGAAAGGAGAGATGCTCCCTGCCTTTGTCGGTCTCCTTACTTGCAGTCTCCCTGTTGTTCCGAGGTTGGTGTGTATGACTCGTATATCTGAGCGTCATCACTAGTTCAAGTGTCAATGCTGGACAGTCACAGAGAAAGTGTTCATTCTTCCATACATTTCCCCAATTTATGGAGGAGAAAAAAAGATCAAAATTAAAATTATAGTAGCAAACAGAGTGCTTCAAAACCATCAGAAACTAAAATATACTCCTGCTTCCTGATGTCTGTCTGCAACTAGATTTTCTTTGTTTGCTGCTTTCTTTGTGGGCAGTATTTTCTCTATCTTCTTCAAATCTATCTTTTTATCTGACAGTCAGTTTCTCTGTTTCCTCTGCTGCATTTGCCTGTGCTTTGTGTTCCCTATTCCCCTGTTATGTATCCTTTTGTATTTCATATTCTGTTGTGTTTGTATGTTTTCCATCTCTGTTCTTACTCAGTTCTCTGAAGAGTCACACGTTTCTTTCTCTTCTTTTTTCCATCAGGAATGATTGTCCTCTCTGCCATTGTCATAGGTACCACACAACTTTCTAGTTTTTCTTGCAACCTTTTTCTTGACAATTTTTTGTACACTGAGAGTTGAGGCTGACAGAAATGTTTATGGTCTCCTTGTCTCTCTTTTCCCATTGCCTGATAACCTCTGTTTTGTCTCTTCACCTCATCAAAGGAGATGCCACTAGAGATGCTACTGTTGAATCTGGGTATTAGTTGAAGCAACTTTCCTCTCCTCGTCCTTTCGTCTGCCTCCTATCACAACAGTGGCCTGTCACCAAAGGCTGATCTCTGCCATGAAACAAGCTGGGAAGATACAGGTTGTGGGCAGGGAAATAGAAAAGCAGAGCATACGCTGACGTTTCAGACATGAGGAAGACTGAGGCCCAGGGTGTGATGTTCTGCCAGTCCTGGATGCAAGTATGAGGAAGGAAAAATAATTTTCTAGGTGGCATTTCAGTGTGGCAGTTTAATACTGAAATCTGCATGGTTTCTTCTTGCTCGTTTTGGATCCCAACCGGTTTTGAATGTGATGTTCATATGAAATGCAGATGTGAGATACACTGAAACATCACCTTGAATGATAATAAAAAAACACTGATAAAAAGCTGATATAATTATAATGTGGTTTCCTTTTTTTCAGTGCTGGTATTTTCTCTACATCACCATTCTTTCTCTTCCTTTTTTCCCCTGAGTTGCCATAGTGTCTTTACAATGAGCTTTTTTTAAGATACAGTATTTCTTTTAAAACTTTTTTTTGCCTCTTCAACTAGCTGAAGTATATTTACAAAGGAGCTTTCAGATCAAATCAGCTGTATTTTTGAAAGGTTCAATCCCTTAGGCAAAGGTTAGGGGTGCATTAGTTGCATCGGTGTGTTTATGAATCCATTGCCTCGGTATCCTTACGCGTTCAGAAGTGTATCTAATGGAGCTGTCTTCTGTGGCTGTCTTTGTTAATGTCGCCTTCAGCATTAGCAAACCTGGGGCCTGATGGCTGGGCTGTGCAGGCGGGTGCTGCTCACAGCTTTCCCTCCTTCGGCGCGCGTTCCACTCCGGCCATCAACACAGAACCATACAGCAGTTGCATAGCAATTAAGTGCCCTTGCTTTTTTATTTTTTAGTTCGTTCCCTGTGAAGTTTTTAGTGTTGTGATGGCATCTGTGGCTCAGAAATGGCTCTTTCTTTTTTTCAGGCAGAATATTTCTTCTTAAATGTAGCCACATGACCATTTACACTCTCATCTTGTGTTGTAATTACGCGATTAAACAGCAGAGCTCAGCAGGGAATGGGACGTGTTTCTGAAAGCCTCTTTGAGGCCCTTTTGGTTCTCTGGACCACGTGGGTCTGTCTGAGGGGACTTGGGTCAGGTCGTGTTCATCTGCATGTGAAGCAGCAGAGACGTAATGGCATAGTGGCCCAGGGCAAGCTGCAATCACGGGGTTGGATTGGGAAAGAGCACACTGCAAGGTGGTTAATCAGGAAAACTGCACTATCTATGCTTCTCTGGAGCGTGTACAGGCCCAGGCACAGGGTGGCCACCCCAGGTTCACTTCATGGTAGCCATAATGTGCAAGAAAGGTGATCAAGACGCTTCCTTCATATCATCACATCATATCATCACATCATCCTTCACATCATCCTTCATATGAGGGCTCTGGTGTCTCCTGTCAGGGATACAAGCAGACAGCCTTTCTTGAGCCTGAGTCTGAATTGCGGTCACTTCTGAGGTGCAGCATGGACACCAGGTGCCCTGCTGAGGAGACTCTTGGCCTTGAGAAGGCTCCCTGGAGCATCTGGCTATCTGCGTGTGCCCTGGCTCCTCATGTTGTAACAAGAAGAGCCCTGCCTAACCATGGCTTTTTTTTTTGTGAGAGTGAACACATTGGTAGCCTGAGATCCTCAGGTTTATGGTGATGAGGAAGTGCTCTGGAAGATCACAGGCATAAATAAGGATTTCAAGCTTATATTCAGCATTTCAGGACTGGTCTGTCCTTCCTGGTGATGCTCAGTCACTAGGATGGCGCATAATCACCACCTGCTTTATCTTCTTGCAACACAAATTTAATTCCTCTGGTCCATGTGTTAGTGGAAAGTAATCTATAAAGAAGTAGTAGGCTGGGCAAGATGTCCTCAGAAACCCTACTCTGTTAGGAAGCTCACACATCATCTGTTCCTGTCGAGCGCCTGACCATATCCCGGAGGAATACGAACACTGTATATAAATCTATGGTCATGATGATCAACGACGTTCAGAAAGCTGAAAGATTTAAAATGAGGCAATTTTAATAAACTCTGCAATCACTCGATTCTCTACGTGGAAAATAAATGCCTTTTCTCTTAGTTTATCAAAAGGTAGGCAAAACCAAA